ATCATCATTTACAACACTGTACCTTTTTCAGTCCTGCAAAGTAAGCGGACAGGTAGTCACGAGGTGCTGCTTGTCCAACCAGGAGATTAGTTTCGTCCGTCTTTATACTGTAAGAAAAGAAAACATTAATGTGTAATGTGAGATACAAATAACCGCCGAAATGGGGGAGGGGGGAACTTCCTGATAAAAAAGACGTGGGTGCTTGACGTACCTTTTAAGGGTTAAAAACGCGATTTTGCTACCTCTTAGGGTGTTGAGCCTCAAAAGGTCCACAGCGGGAGCCTTTGCAGCACCTTTTGGGGTATCGAGCCGAAAAAATGTGACAGGAGACAATGCGTTGTTTTAGAATTGGTAACTACAAGGGACGAAAAACAATTCAACCCACGCTAACAAAACAAGACTTCTTTTGTACAAGGGGTTCTTTTCAAAATTTACGACGAGCACCCCTGTCCTTTTTATATGGGAGTCCCCCCGGGACAAATAAACTTCCCACGCTTGCATGTTGAAACGCAGCAAATTTAGTGTGCTAAAGACCATGCCTTAAAAATGTCTGTCCATGCGATGTCCATAAACCTTGTGATCTAAAGTTCCGGATGTAAATAACACCACTGGCGAGCCCGGGGGGGTGGGGGGAGTACTCCCTATAATGGCTTATATGGGGAGACTCCGCCCAAAAGGAGCACCTTTCCTGTCAAAATGTTATACAAAAGGGTAAGGGATTGGACCTTTGCACGGAGCCTCCACGTACAAAACTTTGCAGAGTACCTAACCCCTCCCATCCCCCTCGTCACGCTCCGCAGAGGGTGAGAGCCTATTTATTCAATGTGTTCTTTAAGTATTCCTGACATAAGCACGGTTCTTGGGACANTAAGGGTTAAAAACGCGATTTTGCTACCTCTTAGGGTGTTGAGCCTCAAAAGGTCCACAGCGGGAGCCTTTGCAGTACCTTCTGGGGTATCGAGCCGAAAAAATATGACAGGAGATAATGCGTTGGTTTAGAATTGGTACCCATAAGGGACGAAAAACAATTCAACCCACGCTAACAAAACAGGATTTTTGTACAAGGGATTCTTTTCAAAATTTATGAAGAGTACCCCCGTCCTTTTTATATGGGAGTTCCCCCCGGGACAAATAAACTTCCCACGCTTGCATGTTGAAACGCAGCAAATTTAGTGTGCTAAAGACCATGCCTTAAAATGTCTGTCCATGAGATGTCCATAAACCTTGTGATCTAAAGTTCCGGATATAAATAACACCACTGGCGAGCCCGGGGAGGGGGGGGGTACTCCCTATAATGGCCTATATGGGGAGACTCAGCCCGAAAGGAGTACCTTTCCTGTCAAAATGTTATACAAAAGGGTAAGGGGTTGGACCTTTGCACGGAGCCTCCACGTACAAAACTTTGCAGAGTACCTAACCCCTCCCATCCCCCTCCTCACGCTCCGCAGAGGGTGAGAGCCTATCTATTCAATGTGTTCTTTAAGTATTCCTGACATAAGCACGGTTCTTGGGACACAAAGTCATTGTTGCGATGAGCAAATTACCTACAATCGAAGGAAACATCACTTGCTGTAATATAGACAACATTTTTCACAACGCAACAAGGTGTAATTGTAGTTCAATTGTGGGTATACTTACAGTGATCCCTGAAGGACTGGCATCCATGCATATCCAACTAAAGAAAGGCATAACGGCAAAGAAATGTTACTATGATTACTATCAACATCAAACGAGAATAATGACGACAACGAAAATGACAATAAACAAGAGATTTCCGAACAATATTATGGCTTTGCATGTGGGTTATGTATCCGCTCTTCATTCCCAATCAATAACAAGTGACCACATTCTTGGTTTTACGAGTCGAGAAAGCGTTAATACAATACCAAATCTACGTGTTTCTTTTTGTACCTAAACTGTTGCCACTACATTCAGCTATAAAACACGAGTTTTTGACCTAAACTGAGGAAATTGAAGTTCCAAAACTTTAACTGCGACGTTATCATTGCCGGCAACGTGGCAACCAGCCTCCTACGACACGTAGACGTCCATCGGGCTCGTCACGTTGAGGTGTGCGTGACGAGACATAGAAACGGGCCGCCAGGTAGCAAATGGTGGAGTTGAAAAGCCACCGTCTTAGTCAAGTTATCCGTCATCCGTGTCAATACTGAGGAGAAACTGGATGGAGAATTTAATTCAATAACGAGACTATCGCGTTCAGTAACCATAGCAACTAACCTGGTGTTTCTATTGGCTGAGGTTTCCCCTTGACTGACCCGGTGCCGCTGCTACTCTTTGTCTGTTCACACGCGATGTGTTGGAACGTGAAAAACACGTGATGCTTTTCTGTAAGTTGGGTTGGAAGATTGATTTTTACCTGAAAATGAACCGATAAAACGATCACAAACAGTTGAAAAAATACTTTGTCTATTTGTTTGTTTAGCAGTGTCCGCTAGATGCGTAACAGTAACCGAAGGGAGTTTAAGTGTCACATGATACCAGCTGAAACAACGAGAAGGGGCACACAAGGATCGCGTAGCGAAATATAAGTTCCATATCACCAATGGGGTTGACAAAACTTGATATGCCGCGGTTATTTTGCAGACGATTTGAGATTTCGGTTTATCGTAAGAAAAAATATTCTTCTTGGACTACGAGTTAAATGCTCGTAACAAGATAGTAACATGAAAATATACATGCAATCCATGAGAGGTATGGTCAAAATAATGCATTCTCTAGACTACACACCTCTTCGTAAAATGTGGGATTGGTGCAATGATGAACAACGGCAGCAATTGCATGTGTGGTGAATCCAGGGCTTCCCTTCTTCTTGTATATACACTAAAACCAACAGACATTTACGGGAAATCATTGAAGATAATAAAACAACAAACTACAAGTGATGTGTATAAAAAATACATTTACCATATAAACACTAATGGAATACCACATGAGCTTTCGCGCGAAAACATGATATCTTCACCAGTCAAAATAAAATGTTTTTAGAATATCGGTCACCGTTTTTGAAAAGCTCCGTTGTCGTGACGGATTAGTTTTGACTGGGTAGGCTTGACCGTAGAAACAAGAGCTGCATTTCAGTTTTTCCCGGCGTATTGTGGACCGGGGCCACAGACACCCTTAGTTTGAGATTCAAGCTTAGTATACAACAATGTAAAGGGCTCCTCTACAACAAACTCGTGCCAACACTGCTACAAAGGTAAGCCAACGCTGTGCCAACCATGAGTCATTGCTGTGAGTGCGAAGCTTATATCAAGTCTCCTCTGACATTCCCTGACTCACAAGAACACTGTTACAAGAAATCTCAAACGACAGTTACAAATGAAACTTCATTGGGAATATGACTGATACCTTTAGAGGCTTCGCATTCTCGTCGTCAGAATCTCTGAATTCGATCTTGACGGAAATATTTCTTGCCTGGAGAGGAAGTAGAAGAGTGTAAACACATTCATTCATTGATTCAATCGTCTCAGTGGAACATTGTTGGGGAACTTTTTTAATTGGAAACTTCAACTGTTTTTTTACCTTTGAGAAAACTTTTTGGTTGCTGTAATTAAGCGACAGAGGGTAGACGTAGAGGTTGTTGGCGTATGTAGTGTGAGGGTGGGCGGCGTCTGGGCATGTCTGACAGAATTCTTCCACTTCAACTGTTGGAAGAACGCTCAGTGAATCATCCCAAGGCTTCACGGGAACGAGTGATGACGTCATGACATCTAACAAGAGACAAGATGCAGTTATCAACCTATGAACCATAAATCATGTGATCTAATCTATCATGACGTCACAGAGGGATATTCTAATGAGTCAACCATCACGTACTTGGAATTCCTTCGACGTATTTGCTGACAGAAACGTGTAAAGTTCCTGGTATAATTTGTTGCTTGAACTTTTCCTTACTGCAATTAAAATAAAAGGTTAAAGATACAGTCTCTGGTTCTCGTAGCATGTTCAAAGCGACTAAGAGTATTGCTACTCCCCCCTCCCCCTCCCCCTGGATGAGATGCTGGTCCATCGCAGGGTTACCCCCAGCATTAAATTCGCCAGTACCCATTTATATACCTGGGTGGAGACAGGTGCTGTGGGATTTACATGTCTCTTTTGGTTCCGTGTCTGAAAGTTTTCAGAATGACAGTTTCAGTCGAGACAGAGATTGAGACGGCTTAATCATGTTATTTTCCTGAAAATACTCTGTGTAACACTTCAGGGTCATGTCTGTCGATGATGATGCATAAACCAAGTCATATCTATAAACGTCGCGACTTACGTTGCGCTGTAGTTTGACAAAAGTTTAATCATTTCCTCGTCGCTGAGTTTTT